TATCTGGATTTTGTCTTTTAGGTATCAAGAAGCTATTGAAGAGTTGTGTTCTTTTTTTTTTTTTTTTTTTTTTTTTTTTTTTTTTTTTTTTTTTTTTTTTTTTTTTTTTTTTTTTTTGAGACGGAATCTTGCCCTGTCACCCGTGCTGGAATGCAATGTTGCGATCTTGGCTTACTACAACCTTCGCCTTCCGGGTTCAAGCAATTATTCTGCTTCAGCCTCCCGAGTAGCTGGGATTACAGGCATGAACCACCATGCCCTGCTGATTTTTTTGTTTGTTTGTTTAATAGAGACGGGGTTTCACCATGTTGGCCAGGCTGGTCTCAAACTTACTCTTGATCTCGTGATCCACTCACCTCGATCTCCCAAACTGCTGGGATTACGGGCGTGAGCCACCCGTGCTGAGCCTTATTTTGCTTTTTCTAGAGACTAAGTCTCAACTATGGTTGTCCAGGCTATTCAAGAACTTCGGGGAGGCTGAGTGTGGTGGCTCACGCCTGTAATCCTAGCAGTTTGGGAGAATGAGGTGGGTAGATCACCTGAGGTCAGGAGTTCAAAACCAGCCTGGCCATCATGGTGAAAACCCATCTTTAAAAAAAAAAAAAAAAGAGCTTCGGGGCTCAAGCAATCCTCCTGCATCAGTTTCCTAAGTAGCGTGGGGGAAAGGTATGCACCACTGCACCCGGCTGCTCACTGGTTGTAAAAGTGATTCCCTCCTCTTGAATACATTCATTAAAATAGCAATTTGAAATTGTATTTTCTTACTTTAAAAATGGTTACTTAGTGGCTTTGGGGAATTCATCTTAAAAGTAAATCATATATTGGAAATACTATAACCAAATAAATGTTTATTGTCATGTTATTTATAGTGTTGAGAACTAGTAATAACTTATGGGATCCAATGATGTAGGAATGGTCAAGTAAAGCACATACGCTGGATAGAAGATTCCATAGCCATGGGAAATCATGGTTGTGAAGGCTCTGTGCTAACATGGAAGGTGAGCGGAGCATGAGAGTAAGTGAAAAGCCAGGTGCAAATTGTGTGCACGCTGTGATGATCATACTTACTCTGGATTCTTCAGTGAGATTATTCACTCAGCAAACACTCATTGAGTACCTCCTATGCAACAGCCACTATTCTAGGGACTGGTGATACAGCAGTGAACAAAATAGACAGCAATCTCTGTCTTTATGGAACTTACATTCTAGTGAGAGAGAAGGTAGACAAAAATAAATGTGTAAAATATTCATTGTGTTATGTAGTGATAAGTGATAAGAAAGAGAACAGAGCAGGAGGGGAGATAGAAAGCATTGAGGATGACAGTTTTTAGATAAGTTGGCCAGGACAGCCTTACTGAGGAGGTGCTAATTAAACTGAAAGAAATGAGGGAAATGGCTATGCATGGGAGAACTCCATCAAGCAGAGGGCATAGCAGGCATAAGAGTGCCCAGATGGGAGATGTCCACAGTACTCCTGACTCAGCTGAGGGGAAAGGGCAGAGAGTAACAGGGAACAAATTGTGGAGGACCAAGTTTGTCAAAATAAGGAGTTTGACTTTTCCTGGGGTGAAACAGGAGCTATCAGAGGGAACTGGGGAGTGACATGATCTGGCTTATGCTTTAACAGGATCACTCTGGAAGCTCTGTTGAAAATAGACTGGCAGAGGTTGCGGTGAGCCAAGATTACATGCCATTGCCCTATAGCCTGGGCGAC